TTCTCGAGGGCGTCATGGATTCCATTACGCTCCAATCCTAGGGCGAAGACGCCGGGTTTCGCTGTAAGCTCGTCTGCGGCGCCGGACATGTAGCGGCGTGCAGCGGCATGGAGCTTGGGGAGGGGGGCGGCGGTGCCGCACGCAACACAAGCGTGCGTAATTACGAACTTTTTGAAGTCACCGCGCCGCTACAGTACTTTGTAAATTATTTACTTCCAGACACCATCGGCGTGCCTGTTTTGTTTTTTCTTTGTAAAAATCGATTTTCGCTGGCGTAAACTGCTTTTTTTTATTTTCTTAAAAAAAAAGGCCAGCGTTTTAATGTATTTTTTACACACATCAGCCATGTTCACACCGCTATAAACTATTAAGTGACGTGAGGTTGTCCATTTTTCGCCGTCCGCTATAATTTCCAACCGCATTTTTAAATGGATTTACAGTAATGTCAGTACTGTGTCATCTAACATAAAGAAAAAAAAACAAGTTCACAATGAGAGTCACATTGATCATGGAGAACCTTAACAGATTCAGAATACTCTTGCATAATTTCTACGTTCCAAACTTTCTTATCCAGCTTGACTATCAGCTGTTATTGAACATACAATCAGCCTCTGAAAAGCATAGAATCACAATGGATAGAGGGCTCCTTTAGGACATTTCAAACGTGAAAAATCACTGCAAAACTTTAAGTCCAACCTTAAGCTTTTCCTGGTCATCCCATCGCAGGCCTGTCACCCCACTGAACTCCACAGTAGAGCTTGGCTTGCATTTCTTGAAGAAGCAGGAGTAATGGAACCAGTTGGGAACCTGGAGGAAAGGTGAGTATGTGTTATAAAATAAAACTTTTTACTGATGTATTGGCAATACTGCAAAGGACACTTAAACATTCAAAATAAAGAATAGTGTCAATTTCCAGCAAAGGAGGAAAACCTTACCTTCCCATCAAAATGAGGAGACTGCCAGTTTCAGGGGCATGGTCATGGAAGGAAAAATATGAGGACCTTTAATACATTCAATTTGATAAATAATGACATACAAAATCATCTACAAGTTCACAGAAAATTCCAGCATGATGTTAACATACCTCATACCGTATAGTCATATCCAAAAATCTATGAGGTCACCATTCATACACTTAAATATTAACAATGTAATCAATACATTTCACAGTATCAATCTCAACTCCATTAAAGACAAAACTGCCCAGGGCATATGTTAGTTAATTTTGTGTACATTTATAGTTTTGATTTGAATGTAAAGTTACCCGGTAGATATGGAAGAGGAAAATGCTGTGTTGCTCACTACTACGGCACTACATAAATGTGATATTATTAAATTATCATTATAAACTACTCTAAAAACTTTAGTCAGTTGAAAAGTGTTGGAAGTAATGGTAACGTTAATTGTTATCATTATATGTGATGATGATTTTTACATTAACAATATCGAGGGGAGAACTCAGTTATGAGGGTAAAGTCGACCTACAAAACTCTCATGGAGTAAACTCTACAGTAGTGGCATGCTGGAGATTTTTAAAACGGGAAGAAGACTTAGGAATTAACGTTAACGCGGGGTGCTGTAACTTCGGACGACCCCTAACTTCGGATGAATTTGTAATTGTCTAAATATGCAAAAGTCAGCCACAGCTGTTGCCATCTTGTACCATCATCTAAACAACAAAGAAGCAAGGATCATGCACACAGCTGACATACGAATGAAAAGTAAAGCTTTCGATATTTAATCAGAGTTACGTCACGACATGTAAAATAACGATAATTATGGACGCCCTCTTGTGAGAGGTCACCATGTAACGGCGTTTCCTACACTAACAATACACCACTATTTTACATGACATATTACTGTCATACACTTGATAAATAAAGCTATACAGTGCACCACGAACTGCGACTCCGAGTGCTTTATTTCGCAAGAAAACTGACCTGAATAAGCATAACTACAGCGCGGTTCGAACGCCCTCCCACACACGTCACGACCGGCATTTCCCGTCATTCTGTTCGAAAGTGAGGGCGACATTTGATACAAGGGTGCGGCCCGTCGTCCGTCCTTCTGCATCCTGAGTAAAGATCGCTAGGTGGTGTCATGGTAAGTAACGCTGCTAAATACACGTATGAAGATGGTTGGGCATCAGGAGACTCATTCTAGGAGGCGAATCAGGCGTTTGTTGGCGGAAGTCCTTTTGTAAACACAGGGAGGGAAATTCGAACGTGAGCAAGGTCAACACAAAAACTCGTTCTTAGGGGCAGATAAAAACTACAAAGACGTTGTTAAAATGATACACACGTTTCCGTGCTTATTTGCCGCCTGTATGTGTAAATATAGATACCATGACTCGCTATTTCGTGTCCATTAAATTATCTATTGTTGATAAAACATTTTGAATTGCTTCACATTCAGGGCCACGTCCAATGAAATTCCATCCTTGGCTAAGAACGGTGCAACAAGCGGCACCTGTGGAAATAATTAAGGCTTGCTCCCAATAAAAGATTTCCAGCTGTAGAATCCGTGTAATCAACAAAATTGCCATAAGTGACACCTTTATAATTTCTTCAACTATTTCACAGATGTCTGGCCCACCACTCAGAAAATACCGCGAGTGGGATGAAGAAGACATGAAACAGGCAATAAGAGCAATAAAGGATGAGAGGAAGGCTATTTATAAAGTAGCCAAAGAATTCAATGTGCCGCAAAGCACCCTGGATGATAGGTACAATCAGAGGCATACGGAAAAGGTTGGCAGGCCCACCAAACTTTCTCCGGAGGACGAGGAAGCTCTTGTAAAGTATTCCATGTACATGGCCACAAAGGGCTTCCCCCTCACAGCAGGGGTGATGAAGGCACTGGCCAAAGAAATAGATGCAGTAAGTAGCAAAGAAAAGGGCGAAGCTCCTAGGTTTGGCGGAAAGTTGCCAGGAAGCGGTGGTGGTCGGCGTTCAGACGCCGCACCCCGAGATAAGTTTAAGATCAACGGACAGTCTGGACAGAGCGAGGGCGGCTATGAGCAATGCCAGAGTGGTGGAAAACACTTTGAGCAACTCGGTCAGTTATTGTCCGAGAACAAGTTACACGATCGGCCGTTCAGGTATACAATGCCGATGAAACTGGCATGAGTATGGATGCGCGGAAATCTCGTGTCGTCGTACCGACAGCATCCAAGCGAGCCCCATCCATACGGTCAGGAGGGAGAGACCATATTACAGCAATGTCCTGCGTGAGCGCAGCAGGAGCGGTGGTTCCCCCAATGATTGTCTTCAATAGGGCCATGCCGTCTGGCAAGTTCTCAGAAGGAGGACCCCCAGGGGCGCTGTACGCTTGGTCCGAATCAGGCTTCATAAATAAAGAGCTGTTTGAGGAGTGGTTCTTCAAGGTTTTCTTGGTCCATTGTCATAAAGAGAGGCCAATCCTGCTGATAGTGGATCAGCACAGTAGCCACCTGTCCCTAAAGGTGCTGAAGACAGCAATGGAGCAAAACATCATAATCTATGGTCTCCCGCCCCATACGTCGCACTTTACCCAGCCCCTGGACGTCACTGTGTTTAGTTCTCTGAAGACAAAGTGGGCGACGACTTTGGAATCGCTACAGGCCGCCGATACACGGTTCCAAGTCAGGAAGACAACGTTTCCAAAGATCTTTGCCTCCGTACAAGATCTTACCTTTACACCTGAGAACATCAAATCAGGTTTTAAGAAGACCGGTATCCTCCCCCTATGACAAGAGCGCCATTGATAACATATGGACCAACATGTCCCCTGAAACTAAGTCTGCTTCAGGAGAACGCTACAGCTACGGGTACCGAAAGTGCAAATGCTGAATCTGCGTCAGAAGCGGGTACCGAAAGTGCAAATGCTGAATCTGCGTCAGAAGCTACAGCTACGGGTACCGAAAGTGCAAATGCTGAATCTACGTCAGAAGCTACAGCTACGGGTACCGAAAGTGCAAATGCTGAATCTACGTCAGAAGCTACAGCTACGGGTACCGAAAGTGCAAATGCTAAAAGGAGCAACAGTGAAACTTGTTGCAGCACGTGTGGGCGCTCTGCAAACCCACTGGTAGGGACCTTAGTCCCTGAACATTTGCAAGATATCTTAAGGCCGGTGGAAAGTGCACCCAATTGCAAACAAACAAAGAGGAGAAAGCTATCAGCCAGAGTTATGACACATGAAGACATTGTTAAAGAGTTGGAGAAGAAGGAGGAAGATGAAAAGATGAAAAAAGCCAAAGCCGAAGAGAGAAGGAAGAGGGCAGAGCTAACACGACTACAACGAGAAGCAAAGGCAAAAGAGAGAGAAGACAAGAAGAGAAAAAGGCAAATGGAAAAGGAGAATGAAGAGAAAGACAAGGAAATGGAAAAGGAGGAGGAAGAGAATGAAATGGATCCGCAAAATGAGGAGGATGAGAGAGAGCAGAACGGGAAATGCCAGGGAGACGGTTCAAAACGTCGACGAATCAAAAAAAGGGATTCCTGTTACGAATATGACTTTTAAAGTTATTCAATGACCGTTCGCACCGAAACAACGCAACAAGTAAGTAACGTTATACAGCCAGTAACGTAGTTCATATACCTTGTGTTCAGGTAAGAGTTCGTATGGTTAACAGTGTTGGGGTATGCGTTGTTGCGTGTAAATAATGGAATTAAGCTAAATCTGTATACTGTAGGTACAATGTGGGTTTGCTATCTGTACATAGATGTTTGAAATAGATGAGAATCGAATTTTTTAAGTAATTTCAATGCCACGCTACTTCATCCGGCTGAAATCCACAGCTTGGTGGGGCTTTGACCGTGTCTCCACCGGGAATACTCGTCAAATACGGAACATGGCTAGGTGTTGATCAGAAGCATTCTTATACTACTTTACTTGTTTACTTAGTTAGAAAATAGCACACCAAATGACAAGAGATGTTTTATTAACGGCATGTTCTGGTACATACAGCACACAACCTACATTGCAGTGTGTAGCTTTTGAACATCTATTACATTTACAATTTTATTACTTGTGGTTAGAAATTTCAACCAATGTTTAACTATTATAACGTAGTAAACTTTAGTGCTGTTTAAATATTGTAATGTAGTGAATTGTAGTGCCGTCAAAACAATTTTGATAAAGGCTCTAAA